TTTCAAAAAAAGCAAAATATTAAAAAAATAACCAGTATCAACTTTTTTACTTGACGTAGATTCAATGATATGTCGCTATGATGTGCCTTACCGTAGTGTTTGGATGATTAAAATTCATTCATATGCAAGTAATCGGCAAAAAGATTCAAGTAATCGTTATAAATATTCAAATAATCGAATCATTAATTTTTAATGTATTATTTGTTTAATTTAATTTTTATTTTTAAAATTTAATTTATTAAATTAATTCCATAAATTACATGAATCGTGAATAAAACAAGTTTATGTTTTACTTTATCCTTGCGTCGTCGGCGGCCGAGTTGCAAATGATGGTCACATTAATGAACAGATCATTAAAAGAAAGGGGTATGAAAGTGAACGCAAGTAAGACGAAGGTTATGGTTTTTGAAAGAGAAGAAAGTAAAACGATTTGTTAAATAAGAATAGAAGGGGAGTTGATCGAGCAAGTAGACGAGTTTGTATATTTGGGCTGCGTATTTAGCAGGGATGGGAGATATGATAAGGATATAGAACGACGAGTGAATGCGGGAAATAGAGTAAATGGGGCCCTACACTATATTGTGAAGAGTCAAAATGTGTCGAAAAAGGCACGTATGGCAATTCACAATGCTGTGTTGGTCCCTACTTTAACGTATGGTAGTGAAAGTTGGGTGTGGCAGAAGAAGCACGAGAGTAGAATGAACGCAGTAGAAATGCGGTCGTTAAGGAGTATGTTAGGGCTGAATCTGAATGACAGGGTAAGAAATTGTGTAATAAGAGAAGAGTGTGGTTTGCAAGATGATGTTGTGACCCGGATTAAGAAAGGAATGCTTCGGTGGTTTGGTCATGTGGAAAGAATGGATGAGGAAAGACTGACAAAGAAAATTTATGTTGCAGAAGTGAATGGCAGAGTCGGAAAGGGACGTCCTAGGCGAAAATTTATCGACCAAATTGGCGATTTATTAAAAACGGGCCAAATTAGGAGTACCCTTAACCGACGAGCATGTATGCGTAGGTGTATGGATGTGAATGAGGCGAGAGAGGTGTGTCAGGATCGTGCCAAATGGAAGTCTGTAGTCTGCCTACCCCTCTGGGTGACAGGCGTGAGTGTTTATGTATGTATGTATGTTTTACTTTGTCAACGTAAATGACAATGGCGAACTTCCAAATAAATGTTAGTTGACTCTTTTTTTCTTGCGTCTACAAATGAAAAATATATAAAAATATAGTTTAAGATCCTGAACATTTTTTTCTTCGGTCGTACTACTGGAAGAAGTCAGAAATTAGAGATATTCCAGTTTAAACAAAATACACATCAGACTAGTCTTTATGGTATATAACGCCTTAACTGGTAAATCGTTACAACTAGTCAATATAATTTTCATATATGTTTATATAGGGCAGTTACTAGCATAGAGGGAATCCTTAAAGAACGCATTAGTATATATAGAAGTTTTCTGAATAAAATACACGTCAAACTCGGCTGTATGTTATAAGAACTTTGTCTATCTTAACTGACGAATCGTAATAATTACAACTAGTCTACTAAGTGTTGAATTGTGCATGATTATTTTTTCTACAGCCCATAAGCTTGATTAGATATAGATAATACATAGTAAATTACTTTATTGATATCTGTAATGGTGACTTAAGTAGACGCTTAATAATTTCATCAACTGTTATTTCGCCATTGTCTTTTGTGTAGGCAAAAAAACTCATATACAATGCTGCGCTGAAGAAACCACTACGTAATCTCTATCTCCCGCCATTTCGGGAGCTTACTGTGCGTAATTTTGTGATTTTCTGTTTATCTTCTTATTTTGTGACTCTGTTTTAACTTTTAGGTCTGTTTCTTCTATATTCGTTGAATCATGTGCCCATGTCAAAAACGATGATTGGGCAAAAGTGGTAGAAAAAACAAAAAAAAAATATGGATGACTTTGAGACATTAATTTTGACTGCATTATTGAAAATCAAATAATAATTAATCTAAAGAACGACAGCTCAAGTAGTTGTACTGAAAGTGAGAATAAATTTATTTTGAATCTAGTTTTAATCTAAAATTTTTATAATTGTGCCTCTAGAAATAAGCAGTTACAACAAATACGAAGAAACTGATAAATCTTGTATTTTAAATTATCCGTTTTCAATTTATTCTGGTATTATCCCAACCAAACTATAGAATATTACTAACTCTAAGTAATCGCTATCGATTTTTTTAAGAATCGAATACTGTATGTTCCCATTTTTTGGTTGGTATGCTTGGTGCAATAATTCTGACAGCTGTCAAAATGTATTTCTTAGATTTGGTTGACAGCAAAAATCGTAATGTTTAATATATATATATATTAGCAAATCGGTAGTACATGACTATCGGACAACTTATGCAGTAATCGGATTCCTTTATATACAGGATTTTCTTCATGTAATTGTTTAATGTGATCCCACTTAGCAGACTTTTCTTTATTATCATTTTTTCTAAAATCGTTTAATTGCATTTTTACATAAAACAAGTGGTTTTAGTGACTTATGGTGTCGATTTATCAAGTCTGCATGGCGCGGTACATGGTAACTTTTGACAACAATTGATAGTTTCAAAAGTTACAAAAATTACTCAATCTATTTTTTAATCTCTGAATCTTGAATCTTGTGGGAAGCCACGGAATGTAAATGGCTGTTTAATTTTGTTTTAGTTATAATTATTTTCTTCTGTATCGTGGAGACAATCTACATACATAAATTTCACAAGGACAAACATCCAGATCCGAAACAATTACTTGCACGGCATACAAATACTTGTTCCGTGCGGGATTCGAACCCACGGCCCTCAGCGCTATAACTCATTGCCAAGCGACTGCGCCACGCAGCTGTCAATGCCGTCATTACAGAGTACAAATACCTAAATATTAAAGTAATATTAAAATTGATTTCTGATCGTTTTAAAATAATTCTGTTCAAAGTGTTTTCAAAGGAAAATTAGAATAGCAATAAGGTTATTTGCGAAATCTTGTGTGTATTTTATAATACTTTAAAAAATTGACGTATAATATGAGCGCTTAAGGCATGCACATTTGGATTTACCAAAAGTTTTTAATAATGCAATGTTGTCTTAATGCAATAATAACATGTCAAATGTTTCTCTTAAAACTTTTTTAAAATACTTTTTTGCTTTGCACTGCATTACCTCCTCATCACTGTCAATATCCTTTTTGCCAGACAATATTTTATTTATATTTTTACATTATGTAAACATAAAAAAAATCGACATACCAAATTAATTAAATATTCTATTAATTTATCTTTATGTACAGCGCATGTTAAGAAATTAAAATATAAAAGTAAAATAATAATTATTTTCATGTATTCTCTGAGGGATTTTTGATTTAAATTATTACTAAGCTAAGCAGTACACCTGCAGTCTTTTTGCATTCCGCTGGGAGGACTCCCTTATCTGTAAAACAATAATTATTCAATATTAGATTATGCTTTAAGATTTCTGTACACATAATGTACACTTTATGTATATGAAATTGTACATGTAGCTACGCTTTGGAATACACTCTTGCATAGATGGTGTTTCAATTTATATTTTAAATTACTGAGTAACTGAAGTCAGGTGATTCTAATACATATTATGAATAATTTTGTATTAGAATTGAATTATTTAAAATCCAAGGTGGCAAAAATACATACAGATAATTATCAATTATTATATAATTAATATATCATTATGATATCAGTAAGCCATGTAATTTGCGGACAATGTAATATTGCTGAGCTAAATATAGCTGATACTTAACACAAAAACATCACATTCCTGATCTTACCTGCAAGGTATCCCATAGTGGAAGACACAGTTTGACTGAACACTTGGATGGCAAATTTCACTTTGATTTTTGTTCTCGTTGGATCAACATGACTGTCAGACAACTTAGGCACTAATCGGATTCCTTTATATACAGGTTTTCTTTGTGTAATTGTTTAATGTGATCCCACTTAACAGTCTTTTCTTTATTGTCAGTTGCATACCTAAAATTCTTCTCTAAAAGATTATTTCGTATACCTTTTAACAAATGTGGTGGATCATAATTATTATTACTTTCGTGTCTTCTCTGACTTCTTGCCCACTTCTCAGCATATCGCTGCTTTGCACGAATAACCGCACAAACCAAAATATTGAAAATAGTGGTTTATAACACAGTCACTTGCAAAATAGTCCGTATTTGATGGTCAGTAAGACTCACATTCATAACGGCAAAACTGACGTAGTGGCGCGTAAAAAATGTCGTTATGTGATTGGTTGATTTATCACGCCATATTTCGCACACCTAGATCTAAAGAGAGCTAATTCAAAAATCTCATTTTTTGAGTTACGCTTTCCATCGAATTAAATAACTCACTACCAAGCACCCAATAAAACCGATTCAAAAATAGTTCTATTACTCAACGCTAGATGATGTTAAAAGCCCATTTTGTTGAACGAGCGAGCCACGCTTTCCCCCACTAAAACAGGGACATCGCTAGTTGTAACCAGTATTTTATGCGGAACGCACGTGCCCGTTGTAAACAAATCGGAGTTATTTTGAGTTGATTCCCTGTTCTTGAGTTAAACAAAGGTTTTTATTTAACATTATTTTGAGTTGTTGCTGTTTTTATGGTTAGTGCTGAGTAAATAAAAGCTACATTTTGAGTTGAACCAGTGTTGATAGTAAGGTAGGCAATGTTTTTGTTTTTATTTTGAATTGTTACCATGTTGTTATAAATTTTTTGAATTTGTAGTTAAGCCTGTTTTGTTGAGTCATTTTTTTAAACTCGTATATTTCTTTAGAAAACAAATGAAATTGAACTTTTTTGCCAGAGGTGATTGGAGTCTGCTCATCTTAATAATATTTTATTTTTATCCCAGTAACTACACAGTTTGTTGTGTTTTTACTGAACAGTTTTTAAGTTAGAGCTGTTTAGATGGTTTATTTGTTTTCTTTTACTATTTCAGAAAAATAATGAATCGTGGACGGTTTTTAGTAAACATGGTTGAAGAAAGGGACAAAGAAAACATCAGCCCTAGCTTACTAACCCAACCAGATACTAGACAGGAGTTTGAACCAATAATAAAAAAGGAGAGAGATTCATCTAACGAAACTCATGCAGCCTTATCCGTGGATGGTAAATCTATTCCGAGCACATATAAACAACAGCAGGCTAGTACACCAAATTATTATATTTCACCAATCCAAAGTGACCAAAGTGATTTTGATGACTCAGGTGAGGATCCCAATTACCAATTGATTAATAAAAGTAAGACACTATCTCAGATCGTACCTTTTGGTTCATTGCTGTCTTCATCCAGCACCAGCAGTAGTAGCTCTAAGAGCTCATCACGTTCTAATAGCTCGTCAGACACGGAAAATGATAGTGCGCATTTACAGCTTGACCCTCAAAATACTACGGTAGCGGAAATTAATTGCCAAGAGCTCGTTAAAAAAGAAAAAAAGGGTAAAAAGAGGGTACGAAAACCAACGATGTGGAAATCGAAAGTTGCGAAAGTGCTGAGAAATTCTGGTAAAGCCTACCAGTCTATGTCAAAATCAAAATTACAAGTGCCAGAGAGAAAAGTCGGCCTCCCCTGTGGAGAAAAATGTCGGCTAAAATGTAAAGATAAGATCAATGAAATATCAAGGCAACAGCTTTTTGATGCATTTTGGGGACTCGGCAATCTTAAAAAGGCAGAGAGAATTTATAGTGCGACACTCACAAAAAATAAAACCTAAATATCGATACTCAAGCACACAAGATTTTAGAGCTCTTAACACTGCGTTTTATTTTGAGGTTGCTGGATCCAAAATTAGAGTTTGCAAACCGTTTTTCAAATCGACTCTCGGGATGAGTTATAAAGCTATACAAACGGCACTTTCCAAGGTCTCTGAATCAGGAGTCATACAAGGAGATTTGAGAGGAAAACACGGCCATCAACCAACTATTGATCCACAAATCAAACAGAGCGTTATTGATTTTATAAATTCTATTCCAAAGATTGAGTCTCACTACTTGAGAGCTCAAACGAAAAGACAGTATATTTCAAGTGAGAAATCATTGGCGGATATCTACAGAGATTACAAACAACTTCGTGAAAAGGATGGTTTAGCTATTGCCACGTCTTCCACATTCAACAGGATATTCAACACTGAATTCAACATTTCTTTTTTCGTACCAAAAAAAGATCAATGCGATCTGTGCGAAAGGTATAAGAATTCAGACTCGGAAGAAAAACGCAACTTAAGCCAAGAGTATGAACAGCATCAGAAAGAAAAAGTTTTTCCAAGAAATGAGAAAGATAATGATAAAAGTAGGGCCGATGGTACTACTTGCAGGCAGTTTTGCAGATTCCAAAGGGACAAATATCACTATTTTTTTATAAATCCAGGATCAACTGTTTCAATTTTACCATCAGCGATTTAAGGGCAAAAGAAGTTATGTGCTACTTTTGGGATGAAACCGAAGGAAAGAGAGGACCTATTGAAATTGGCAGCTGCATACTCGACTACGTTAAAGCTCAGGTAGACCAAAATCCTAATAAAGAAATTGAAATAATTTTCTACTCGGACAATTGTGGCGGTCAACAAAAAAATAAGTTTCTGTTGTCTGCCTATGCCTACGCTGTCAACAAGTTAAGAGTCAAGTCTATTACTCACAAGTTTTTCATACGTGGACACTCACAAAATGAAGGTGACAACGTCCATAGTGTCATTGAGAAACAAATTAAAAGATACGTGCAGTCGGGTCCAATCTATATACCAGAGCAATATAAAACGTTGATTGGTACAGCAAAAAAAGACTGGAAAACCTTACACAGTCGTAGAAATGACGCATGACAAGTTTTATGATGTTAAAGCTTTGCAAGAAACGTGGGGCACAAATTTCAATACAGACGAAGAGAGAAATCAAGTTAAGTGGCATGACTTAAAGGTTCTTAGGGTTGAAAAAGATCACCCTGAAGCGTTTTTCTATAAAACATCATTTACAGAGGAAACGTTTAAGAAAGTTTGTGTGCGAAAGAGGATTCTTCGCCTAAGAGGATCCGGATCGGCCATAGCTATAGATCAATCGTTATTTTCAATTGTTTTAACACATGCATACACTGAAAAAATTGCATTGTCTGATGCAAAAAAAAAAAGACATAAAAGAATTGATTGATAAGAACGTCATTCCGAAATCCTATTATGATGTTTATTATAAATATGTATTGGGTGATACTGATAATTGACTGCTTTATTCTTATTGAAGTGTTTTCATTCTTAACTACCTACTAAGAATGTGTCAAATGTGATTTTAGATGAGTATTTAAAATGTATTTCATGGAAGGGAAGGTTCCTCATTATGTTTATGTTGTGTTACTATTTTATTATGATAATTTTATTTGAACCTACTAGGTAATTAAGGGTCATAAAAGGCTGTATTTTTTATAGAATATATTAGGTATAGGTATATTATTAATAAAAAATATTTGATTTGATTACATAATTTAGTATTTTCTTGCTAACTCATCAATCAATATACCCCTACTGCTGGTCACTGACCCCTCTATCAGTTGGATTTTTATTGAATTAATTCTAAATGCTGCTATATTTAAATTAATATTGACTCTTCAAAAGGGAGCCAACTAGGAACTTAATTCACCAACACAGGTTAAACTCCAAATAAAAAAAATATATACATACATTTGTTAAGCAATACGGAAATAACTACAAAACTCCAATTTTCAGACTCAATTATGATTAAAATACATGATTCATTATGACATCTTTCCTCTATTTGCATTTAAAAAGATTTGATCAATTCAGAAAACTCCTGCGGGGCACAGGGACACTGTAATCAGTTTATCACCTTTTCTGAAAAAAATGATTTTTTGAGTTAATCGCTGTTTAGATCTAGGTGTGTGATTTGTGCAACAGTCGACGATCGCCAGTTGCTATTATTGTTTTCGCGTGTCCACATCAAAACTTTCGGGAATAATAGCACATTACCAAATAATCGTGTGTTTAAATTGTAAAGTTTAGTAATATTTTCTGCAATATTCATTCATTTTGAGTTGATTGATTATTTAAGTTAAAATTGTGACTGTTTTCGATCATTTTTTTTTTTTTTGTTAAAAAGTGCTGCATTTGGTGCTACAACATTCTCCACGAAAAAGTAAGTAAGACAATAATACTTATTAAGTTTTATTTGTTTCCTCAAGATAGAAACAACAAAATCTTTTAACATTTTTATGAAATAGGTTATTATTGCTTAAAAATAAAGCTAAACAATTTAGAACCGAAAGCAAGTTAAGTTACTTTTAACGATATAATGTAATTATAACGTGTTTTGGTATTTTTTGCTGCCTCTTGCGTGGCTTATTTAACCGCGATGTCCCGGGTTCGAATCCTGGTTCATGCAGCAAACGGGGTAATCGTCATTTCTTATTTAGAACATTCTTAATTTAGCAACTCGGCGTTAGAAATTATGCCGATGAACAGCAGAAAAAACATAGCCGGCTTCGGGTATTACAGGCATGATGCTATGTTGTGTTGTGTTGTAGTATGATAGGACTGAACGGTGTGGTGTGGCATGGCATGGTGTGGTATGGAGTGGTGTGGTGTAGTGTGTTGTATTGTGATGTTGTTCTGGCATGACATGCCATGGCATAGTATGGCGTGGTTCGTTATTTTATGAAATGTTCTTATTATTTACAGTGCCGAATCCCCGTACCCTACAAATAATCCGGAATCTCAAACAAGATAGTAAATCTGTTATACAGAATGAAATACCTACGACTTCAACTTCCATACAATTCACTGAAAAGAAACAGTTCATTTTATCTCCCAAGCCTAACGATAATATTGAAAATAAAGATTTATCTAATGTTAGTGAAGACTTTTGCTCAGATGATAGTGTGAAGGATCCTGACTATGTAGATATCGATACACCCTGTTCTACAAAGAGGTCTCTTTTGAAAAATAAAAACCGAGAAGTTTTTAAAAATTTGTTGAGTGGAGTAGATTTAAATGAAAAACAATATGAAAATTTCAGTAACGATGTTTCCACCATAAACCAAACAAGTTCACCTATACCTATGCCGATAGCCCCCATGCAAACAGAATATAGTAGCAGCTCAAGCAATGGATCTGGTTCATCCAGCTCAAGCGATGGATCTAGTTCCTCAGATTCCGAGAGTTCATCAGACGATGAATTGAATAATGAACGTTTAACAGCAGTGGTTCAGTCTAGGGTAGACAATAACATATTTCCTACAAGAGCTACCTACATCGAAGAAGATATTTCTCGCAATGATTCGATTGAGCCAGTAGCTTCAACTTCACGTTCTACACCTCCAACTTCTTTAGAACTTACTGCTGATACCAATTCTACACATCTTGGTTGTAACGATAATATCAGCTCAAATAAAGGACGGAAAAGAAAATCTACACCCAATAACTGGTTGCGTAACAAGGCAAAAATCCTAAGAAACTCTGGTAAGTCCTATATATCCAATTCTAAAAAAGGGGAAAACCGTTGTGCCTGCAAACTCTCTCAAAACACCGTGTACTTATAAATGCAAACAAAAATGTACACGAAACATTACAGAATCACAGCGCAAAGAAATTTTTGAATATTTTGGGGCATGGGAGATCTGCAAAGGCAACGGGAGTTTATTTTACGCCATCTTTCCGTCATTCAACCACGATACTCATACAAGATGCATAACAGTAACCGAGGGAAAAACAACGCTTTATATTTGACCATTGATAATGAGAGAATTCGAGTGTGTAAAGTATTTTTTAAAGCTACGCTAGATATAACTGATGCCTTTATCCGAACTGTTATTCAAAAGAAGCATAATTCATGTGGCATGTTAGATTTGGATAATCGTGGCAAACACAGTCAACATTTCCATTTAGATCCGGCTATTAAAGAAAGTGTAATTCAACACATCAACTCAATTCCAAAAATTGAAAGTCACTACTGTCGTGCAGACACAAAAAGGCTTTATATTGATGGTGGGAAAACTGTAGCAGACTTACATAGGGATTACGAACTCGACTGTCAGTCAAAAAGTCTACCAAGCGCCAATTACCTTATGTATTACAGGATCTTCAACAACGAGTTCAACGTTAGCTTTTTCCAACCAAAAAAAGATCAGTGTGAGGATTGTACATCATACAGTAATGCCACAGAAAACGATAAGGTAGAACTGAAAGAAAAGTTTGATAGGCATTTAAAAGAGAAGGATTTGTCAAGGCAAAATAAAGAAGATGACAAAAAATTTACTCCTGATAATTGTATTGTAGCAGTTTATGATCTTCAGGCTGCAATGCCTTGTCCTAGAGGAGATGCATCAAACTTTTATTACGTATCAAAATTAAATACGTATAATTTCACAATATGCGATATCAAATCTAAAGACACTGCATGTTATGTCTGGTATGAAGGTGAAGCTAAACGCGGTGTTATAGAAATAGGATCTTGTTTGCTTAAATACATACAGAATTTAAAGTTTAAAGCTGAAGAACTAGACTCAAAATTAGATATAGTTTTTTATTCAGACAATTGCTGTGGCCAGCAAAAAAACCAGTACATAATAGCTCTTTATGTATATGCAGTTTACCATCTCGATTTTATTAATTCAATAACCCATAAATACTTAATAAAAGGGCACACTCAAAATGAAGGTGATAATGTCCACTCCCTTATTGAAAGAGGAGTAGGTAAAGCTCTAAAGTCTGGACCCATATATACACCTGACCAGTATGTGCACATTATAAGAAATGCTAAAAAATCTGGTAAAGCCTATCAAGTAAATGAATTAATACACGAAGATTTTTTTGATATAAAAGCGTTGGCTTCATCGATAGGCAAAAATTTTTCTAAGAATATGGACAAAGAAACGTTAAAGCTAGGAGACGTCAAAATTTTAAAGGTGGAATCTAATGACTCTAATTACTGTTTTTCCTACAAAACATCGTACGAGGACACAGAGTTTAAAACAGTCATGATAGATAAAATTGGTAAGACAAGAAACACTGCCAATAATATCACTTTTAAAAAGGCATACAGAGAAAAAAATCCCAATATGTGAGAAGAAGAAGAAGGGTTTGCTAGACCTTATTAGGAAAAATATTGTACCAAGATTTTATAAACCGTTTTTTGAGAATCTCTAATTTTTATTAATAAGTGTACCTGAAGAAGACTGATTATGCGGTAGTTGTCCAATGTTTGATAGATTTTTTTGTTTATTGTTTTTAATTAACCGAATTATTTTAAAAATAAGCACAAGTTTGTTATTTTTTTTATAAGCATGGTTCATCATGTTCCTAATTATTTTTAGTTTGTTGATTTTTTTATGTTTATGGTTCATAATGTTCCTAAATATTTTTAAAAAGCAAAACTTTGTTAGAATTTTATTTATGTTCATGGTTCATAATGTTATTTTTCCTAATTACTTTTAAGAAGCGTAATAGATAGGTATTGTTGGTTCGATTTCTTTTATGTTTGTGATTCCTAATATTTTAATGTTAACGTGATTATTTTAATCTGCGTACTGGTAGCTTGATGACAGTAATAGACATACTGCAAATTGTTATAAAATGTGGACTATAATAATAATAAATAAATAATAATAAAAATACTTTTCTACAGGTTTGTTTAATCTCTAAATATGATAAACAGAAATGTGTTACTCTACAGAAAAAATCGTTCCGAAGGCTTCAGCATAAAACAAATAAATTGATTTGTGTTTGAACACACTTTTCATTAATATTATCTTTATCGTAATTGTGTCATTATTACAGATTTTTTTAATATCCTGTAGATCATATTACCAGTTATGCCATTGTAAAACTAAAATTGAGAACTATTCATATTTATTATTTTGATTTATGTTCCTATTCATGATAATATACCAAAACTCATTTTGTAACAAGTCGAATAAGTCATAGTTTTTATTTATTAATTAAGGTATTCGCAGCTCAAAACCTGAATTTTTAGATTATAATCAAACCTTGATTAATATACTTTCGATTTATATATTCTACTCTTCTAATGATTAAAAACATGAAAAGTTATGACAGTAAATATTTTGTTTAATTTTCAAATAGCTACCCTGTAAAATGTGTGTTTTTGGATTGTGCGGTTATTCGTGCAAAGCAGCGATATGTCCTCTGGTTTCGTTTAGAAGATTCAAGGCATTTTTATTATTAGTGCCTTGGTCACATTCTGCAGTCATACATTGAAGCCAGTTTCTTGCAAGTTCTCAATTATTGCTTTAATTTGCAAAGCCAGCTCTGGGCCTTTAGTGGCTGCCTGTGCAAATGTATAAGCAACAGGTTGTTTGTATTTCCTTATGCGACCCCTGATCATAAAAACCTGTGCATGGTCTGCAAATTCAGGCGTTGTCTCGCGTCCATTATTGACAAAACCTGTCTGCTGGCTTTTCTTTGCTCTTGCTTCAAGTTGAGCAAAGACATTGTTGTTAATACCAGGCTTTACATTGGCCTGGTTCAAAAATGTTGTCAATATTTGTGGAGAAGGCAAAACTAACATTCTTCGTAGAAAGCGATAGCCTTTGGGGCTTTGCTTTAGCATTGCCAAAGCTAATATTTTTTCTTCAGTAGAAAATCTTCTTCCTTTTTTTATTCTTTTTTACGTTCTCTGGATTGTAACCTAGTTAAGACACTGCAGCACTTGGCAAATTGTTAACATTAGCTATAAAGTTGTTAGTCTTCATAAAATTTTTGGATGCTTCTGCGCTCTGTCGGCATTTTGACAGTTAAATTCTTATTTTTACCAATTTTTGGTATAAACTAATAATATAAATCAATATTTGCTCTTTTTTGGCATTTTTATATCATTCGCTACTTTTTAGTAGTGTTTGGACCTGCAAATAAAATTAAGCTATTAGAAAACACGCTAAGTTAGACAATATTATTATTATATTAAAAGGATTATTCAAACATGGTGTCTGAAGTACTTTACAACAATTAATATGTGATTGCCATATACTTGTACATGATCAAATATGATAAATTTTGTTATGGGCGAAAACTGAAAGTATGAGAAATAGAGGAAAGTTGTTTAGGAGTTGTCCCCTCGATTCTGACAAGTACCAAAACTGCATTTTCAGATATGTAAATAGAACCCAGTAATTAACATTTAAACAAAGCTTGTAGGTATTATCATTAATGCATTAACACAACTTCCTTAAAATTCTTTTTGTAATCTTAACTGTGCCCTGCGGTTTCACCATAGCTCGGTTGCTAAGAGTTGTAGCGTTTAACACAAAGACAGAGTACATGATCTTACTCTATCTTAAGATTTCATTTTTTATATAAAATTTAAATAAAGGACACTCACCGTATTTATCCTGTAGTATGCATGCTTGTATTCCCAGATCTTCAGCAGTTGCATCTAGTAGAACGGTGTCTGGAAAACAAAAGACATAAATACGTATATTTTTTAATAAACAGGTACAGCAATAGGTGGGATACCTTTATGTTGTCGATAAGATTATAAGATGAATAATGTAATTTAATTCCTCAACTCATATAAGGTATAATCAGCGGATATAACAATATTATTAGACATCAAAATCATAATAATGTTTAAATTATATATATTAGCAAACTGGTAGTACATGACTATCAGACAACTTAGGCAGTAATCGGATTCCTTTATATACAGGATTTTCTTCGTTTAAGTGTTTAATGTGATCCCACTTAGCAGACTTTTCTTTATTATATTTTTTTCTAAAATCGTTTAATTGCTTTTTTACATTAAACAAGTGGTTTTAATGACTTATGGTGTCGATTAATCAAGTCTGCATGGCGGAGTAACGGTGACTTTTGAAAATATCAATTTGAGCAATTGATATTTTCAAAAGTTAAAAAAATTACTCAATCTACTTTTTAATCAATCTACGGAATCTATCTTATGGAAAGCTACAGAATGTAAATGGCTGTTTAATTTTGTTTTATTTAGTTATAATTATTTTCTCCTGTATCGTGGAGGCAGTCTACATACATAAATTTTACAAGGACAAACATTCAGACCCGGAAAAATTACTTGTAAGGCATAATACTTGTTCCGTGCGGGATTCGAACCAGCGGCCCTCAGCGCTATAACTCAATTCCAAGCGGCTGCGTCACGTAGCTGTCAATGCCCTCATGCTTGAATACAAATACCTAAATATTAAAGTAATATTGAAGTTGATTTCTGATCGTTTTAAAATAATTCTGTTAAAAGTGTTCAAAGGAAAATTAGAAGCAATAGTAATAAGGTCATTAGCGAAATCTTGTATGTATTTTAAAATACTTTAAAAAATTGACGTACAATATGAGCGCTTAAGGCATGCACATTTGGATTTACCAAAAGCTTTTAATAATGCACCGTTGGCTCAATGAAATAATAAACATGTCAAATGTTTCTCTTAAAACATTTTTTAAAATACTTTTTTGATTTGCACTGTATTACCTCCTTGTCACCGTCAATATCCTTTTTGTCAGACAATATTTTATTTATATTTTTACATTATGTAAACATAAAAAATCGCCATACCTA